CCTCCATCCTTCCAGAACTGAATTGGTTACATTTGTTAACTTTTTCTTGCATCACTCTAACCTGCTTCAGAGACTGAACTCCTTCTCAACTGTGAACTTGGGACGAATAAAAAGAGCTTTTTTTAATTTTTATCTTTTATTTTTATTTCCTCCCCAGTTTTATGAAATGAGAACGGCAGTTTCCCAAAGTTTCTCTCTGCTCTCGATTCGAGGAGCGAGTGATTTTTGTTTTGTTTTTAAACGAGGGCGGTTAGCGATGCAAGGCGAAAACTTGAAAGACGATGTTGGTTTGTTGGTTGGCTACAATTTTTTTTACTACTATTTTTGGATTTTTAGCTTTGTTTTGCTAGTTTTATTTTTAAAAAGAAGTGTTTCTTGCATATTTGATTTGATTTTTTTAAATCCTTGTGGATGTTTTCTACGTGTCGGCGGATGTGAGAGGAAGCAGAGCTGCAGCTGCTTTGACCCGAGTACGGTCCTCTCACTTCCTTGTTGTACAGAGGGATCTCGAGTGAAAAAAAAAAGCGGTGCCTGATTTTCATCAAGGAGGTCCATTTTATTGGTGCTGTTAGTTATTACTGTATAACACAAAAAGTAAAGAATCTGGGGGGGTTAGCGCCTCACACACCCCCACCCCACAGGGCAGGAAAGCTTCCAGGCTTTTCTGGTTCTAGATGTGCAATCGTGTTAACATTCCATTCTTCCAGTCCTCTTGTTTCATCTGTACCAGTAAACATTAATTATGTTATTTTGTTTATTTTTATTTGTTTTTATTATCTCAAGTAGAGCCACTAGTTAATGAGTGTAAAATGTGAAATATCAAATCCAACTTTTCTTTACTTTTTACGTTTTTTTCTCCCTTTTCCAGATATATTGAGTCATGTTTTAAAGAAAAAAAAAGTCCAACAAAAACAAGCATCAACTCTTTGTACATATATTCTGTACATTTCTTTAAATACCTGAGCCTGTTTTTTTTTTCTGGGTTTGGGTAAAAAGAAAAAGGAAGGAATAAAAGAGATTCCAGAGAAGAGTGCTTGATGAAGAAAAAGCCTTACATTTCCCTTTCTTCATCAACCTGAGTGAGTTTGATGCTGACAGGGTGCTCTGGTAAATGTGTATAAAAATTTTAAGTGCTGCTTATATCACTAAGAAAGAAGATATGGAGTAGCCAACGATCCCCCCGCCCCCGTCCCCCCGTTTCGCTCTCCTCCCCTTTCAACCTAGTTTTGTTTGTTTAGCTTTACTTTTTTAAAGAAAAGGGAAAAAGAGAGATGTTGGTTGGAAAAAAAATGGGTTTTTACATTTTCATTACTGAAAATTCAACAGAAATGTAGTAGCTACTCATGTTGCACTGAGCTTGCAGTGGTGACTGTCAAGGAAAAATCCTATAATCCAGTTTGTTGGTTGTTGTCCCTCGCAGAAGACTGAACTGTTTTAGGACTATTTAAAGAAATACCAAGGTGTTCTCAACATTTAAAAAGTGGTTGTCAAGTTTTTATGGCCTTACATTATATTTTATTCTTACAGGATTTTTTTTTCTTTATTGCTTAGTTTTTTTTCTTTTTTCATTTTCTACAGCATAAACTACTTGCTCACAATGGGATCTCTGGTGACTTAATTTATTAAAGCCGTATATCGGCCTTTCCTTTCATTTGGAAAGAGTTTCATGTTATATTTGCAGTTTTTTACTTTTGCAGTTTGTACCTAAGGTTTAATAAAAACTTACAGACAATTCACTGTCATTTCTTTCCAACCTGCTTGTGGTTTTTTGTGTCCGTTTCATTCAAAACCTGACGTACGTCCCAGTTTTTTCCCCCACCACAGCTGAAACCTGCTTTTCTAAAATCATTAACTGAAAACTTTTATTTGCAAGAGTTTTATAAATAAATACATCTAATTGCAATATTAAATAGTCATGAGCTGATAAACCTTTTAATGATCTCAACCACTATCAAACCTGCAGTGATAAATTATGTGACCYGTCACATCAAACTGAGGATTAAGTGAAAATGACCTCAGTACATTTTCAGATTTCTGCTTACTAAGCTATATTTTGATTCCTAGTTTCAGAGATATGCCTTAWCTTCCTAATCAAGCTAACCCACTGATATTTGGTCTTAATCCTATTTTTATGTTATAAAGAGGAAACTCAGTATTTGAATATTAAGATTTACCAGCTGGAGAGGGGAAAAATAGCTCGCAGGAATGACAAATGTAAGGCTTTTCTGCTCAAAAAAGGCTCACAAAGTTGCTTTAAGATTACATTTCAGATATTTAAACATGTAGGTGAGATTTAAAGAAAAAAAACCTAGACTTTATCATTACAGTTTGACAAATGTGCCTATTCCTCTACACACCTTTATGATTTAATCCTCAGTTTGACGTGATTGGTCACATATAATTTTGTGCAATCCAAACAAATACAGTACTTTGGCAGTTCAGGAAAACCGAGTGAAGAAGAGTCCAGGCAGTAGTGAGGACAGGACAGAGGAGGACCCCAACTAAAAGAAAGTTGTCCATGAGAAGCAAAAAGAAGCATCCTTATAAAATCTGTTCAGTAGATATGTGCAGGCTGCAGAAATCCACACATCCATCATCAATAAAAGCCATTTTCACACTCAATAGTGCAATTTCTTTAGTTTTAAAAAAATGGAAATAGAACAATCAACATACTGGTGAAATAATCTTTGTTTTTCAAGTTTTGTTTCCTGTTGGATCAACACAGTCTGTAAATGTCAGGGTCAGACGTTCAACTTAACCCTTTAATTCTCACATTTCTTCATCCTAATGAGAATCAAACACATCTGGGTCTGAAACATTTATTAATAAACAGGAGAAAGAAAGGAAAGAGTAACGCTGTCACATTGCACAAATGTCAACAAAACCAAACCAGGCTGGACACAGTTTCACCTTCTGCTCCACGTCCAGTGCACAGCACACAGTCCACATTTGGTCTTTGTTCAAAAGRAGGAACATTTAACTCACCAGAGGCAAAAAAGAGGGGAGATTTATTGAATTAACGATACCTGAACTGTGTCGCCTCAACGTTATTGTGTTACAGCTCACAGTCCACGTTTGTCACTGAAAATTAAATCACAGATGACATTTGAAATTTTGTAGAATCGAGAAAACACCATTAGTGGTTCAATTTAATCAATTATGGAAACATCAACCATTATCCCCTCTGCAGAAGATTGACAAGTCCTGAATTCTAATTAGTATTAGTTGCATTAAAGGTCAATTTATCAGTTTTATGGAACAAGTTCATCAAGCATTAGTAGTTTCAAAAGAGCAGCTCCTGATCAGCGAAACATTTGACCCAGTCAGGACACTTTTCTTGTCAGAAATGTTAGAAATTTAAAGCTGTCRGAGAGAATAGTGTTTCAGAAAAAGCACTTTACTCATTTAAAACTTGGATAATTCAACCAAAACCATCTGCACAGTAAAAAAAAGGAAAGAAAATTAGGTGAATTTTTTAACGAATAAAAGCTCGATTCTTATATGGCTCTTAGTTTCAAGTGGCACCATCCTGACAGACTAAATGTTAAAACCATCATGTCTGTAAAACCTCCCAACAAGAACAGAAAGCTGCAGTAAATACTCTGAGTCCTGACTAAAACTGGCTCGTTTTGATGTTTTTTCCCTCTCAATGTGCACAAAAACAGAATTTCTGTGACTTTCTGCAAAGAAAAAAAAGTGCATATTGTTAAGCCTTTTTATGCTAAACGGGGCAAAAACCTATTTTCTTTATTAGATTTGAAAACTTAACTTTGTGATTTCTTTAAGGCAAGTTTATGTGGCAGTTAGTGCAACCTCCAGGGAACTTCTCTTGATTTTCTGAAAGATTTGTAGGAACAAAAGCCAATATATTTACAGTGCTGGGCAAAAATAGAAACAAATCACCTTAATTTAATATTATTTATCTAAGAAGGAGCCCGACTTTGTTCTAGTCTTGTAAGCAGCTAAGATAGGAGTTAAAAAAAAAAACTAGACAGATATTTAGAAAGCCTAAAGAAATATTGATCAGGACCACTTTATAAGATTACAAGAAAGTCTGGCTCATTGGAAGTAAAATGTAAAAAAAGAGAAGATTGAAGACTTTTGCACGGTGCTGTGTACTCTGGGTTCTGGATTTGGCAGCTGTGGGAGTTTTTGCCTTTCAATCAAGTCCAGCTGTCCTCAAACCTGCTGCCGTTTCACCTTACAGTCTTTCCTCGTCCCGTCTCTGTTCACCAGCGCAGCGTCTGGGTGAACCTCCTCCTCGTCCAGGGTCACCACCACAGGGGGCTTTCTCCTCCTCCCTCCTCCCCCGGAGCCTTCACCTCCCCCCTGCTCAGTCTCCTCGTCCTCCTCGTCCTCCTCTCCGGCCTCCGTGTCCTGGCTGGCTGAATCCGTGCAGGTGGACGACAGGGACGAGAGCTTGTGTCGGAGCTCGGCCTGGGTGGGGACCTGGAGGCTGATCTCGGTGGTGAACGACTCCACATCTGGACCTTAAAGGGACGAGGAGAAAAAAAACAAAAAACAAAGACCTGCTCAAACCCAGAAAACACAGATGCAGCAAGAAAAWCAAGGATTTGCTGTGTTAGTGTGTGAACCTGTGACAGGTGAAGCAGCACTGTTGTCCTCTCCACCAGAGTGCAGGAAGACATCCAGAGCCTCGTGGTCAGACATGTCCATCAGGTCCATCTGCTCCAGCATGTCCACGTTCACCTCCATGGACGACATGCTGCCTATTGGCTCTGCATGTGCACCACACATCACAGTTAGACAGCATGAAAACTGCATGAAGAAGCAAAGAGCTGAGTCCAGGAACAAAGACTCTTTTTCATCTCCAAACACAAAGGCAGAAGCAGATGGCCACTTAGGAGCTGGATGGTGTTTCAAATGAGACAGTGTGTGTATGATTTAAAATAAAAGCTTGTTTATGATCCAAAGCATTGTTACTGTAAACAATGAACTAGAGAGTATTACTGGAGGTGTAGATGCAAGCAATAATGCAGCTATAATAACTTTACAAAAACTGAGTTAGCATATCAAAGTACTTGACGTACTAACAGATTATGACAAAAAACCTAGCAGTATTTATCAAAAGATTTTAATTTTTAAAGTCTTGTGTCTTCCCTAATTTACCAATATTTTTGCTTTAAATGAGCCAGACTTTTAAAAATGCAATAAAGTGCTCCTAACCAGTAGTTCTTCAGATCTTTAAAAGTGTCTCTTGAGACTTTAGCAGCTTTTTTACTTAGTTTTTTTTTTTTTTACATCCAGGACTTGGCTAATGTCAGAGAAATGCTTTTTGTTTGTTAAGCCACTAAACTCTGATTCGTGAATCATTCAGGCATTAAAAGGCTCCTWCAGTCAAAGGATGAATCAGTGTTGTGTCGATACATAACTTAGCACAGCAGCTTGTTTAAATTAGATTTTTAGGCTTCTTGTTACTGACAGCCCAACACAAAGAGGAAAACTGTTCTTCATTTCACCTGTAGAGTTTATGAAAAATACTAAACATCTTAAAAACCGGACTTCCAGAACTTTTTATCATTGTTTTTATCAGCCTTGGACTTATTTCAGCTTTTATTTGTCCATTTTTCATATTTTAATAAGAAAAAAATGTACAATAATTCTGTCCTGTAAAGACTGGACTCAAATTTATTTGAAAACCAGTCAGCAGACCCCCCCCCACCAAAAAAAAAACCCCCACCAAATTAAAAAAACCTTCGAAAATCTGATCAAGTTACTTTAAAGTGCCCGTGATAAATATTAATGTATTTTTGGAAAGATAACAATAAGATATGGGGAAAAAAAGTTTCACGCCAGTGAGATGAACAGTTATGATGTAACAGGAAGTGATGTCAGAGAGAAACATCTGCGTGTGAGTAGAGTGTCGTTACAATGGYCGACAACAGGTGGGAGAGAAGAATCTGTTTCTTTAGATTAAAAAAAAGAAATGAGGAAGAGTCAGGGTTTAAATAATATTGTTTCAATAAACAAAGACCAGAGAGTTTTTATTTTTTTAAAGAGTTCACCTTTGATGTCACTTCCTGTTTCACTTCGGCTGAGACAAATTCAAAAGAAATATGCCAGTTATGTGAGAAAATGTGTAAAAACACGTGTATTATGCTAATTTTCTTAAATATGAAGAGGTTTTTTTACTTTTTCAGTTTGAAGGATATACATGTCACAAGCACTTTAAAAAACTACACCAAAAGTCTTAAAAGAGACATTTAAAGAAATAAGTTGTTTCAAACAGGACATTTGCAGCCTGTTTTGTCACAGTCAAATTTATGGTTTATAGCTTCATAACTTAATGTTTTGCTTTAATTCAGCATTGAAGCAAATGATGTTCCTTACAAAACATACTTTTGCCACTTCAGTAGATAAAAGAACTGAATATTAGTTTCTAAATTTCTTCATCGTCAGTGACTTTTTTTCTTACAAAACATCTGAAAATGACTTAAGTCCCTGGTAAATTTTTTTTTTAATTATTATAAATAGATGCTGAAAACTCTCAATTTAATCAAATCTTCAGTTCTAAGCTTTAACAGGTAAAATAATACTTGTATTTCTGCACAAAAACTCTCCTCATTCATCAGCTAACACACTCCTGGAGTCACCACCTGCAGCGACACCCCCCCCCCCCACCCCAGTTTGTCTCATGATGTGCTGCATGCATCACAAACAGCCAGTCAGTGCAGCGACAGTGTGGGGTGGTGGGGCGGGGAGGGTTGTGAGCACATGAGGAAGGAGCAGCATGATTGGTTGTTGCACAGCAGTGACAGAAGATGCCATTTGCTACCATACCTCAAGGAAATGAGGAGAGTAGAGGAGGGCAGCACGGGGAAGGAGAGCGGAAAAAAGAGAAGAGATGAGAAAGAGAGAAAGAAGGGGAATGTTATTTCTGATGGAGGCTGACCTAAAAGTAATTTTTAAAAATTTAAGTCGCCCAGTTTTACAAAATTCTAACACAAACAGAAAAATCACACAGAGCAGAACATGAAGACCCTTCTTCTGCTCCTTTTCTATAATTTCTCAGGGGAGACAAGTGAAGTGGTTCCTGTGAAACATTTAAGAGGAATGGAGGTCTAATTCTCTCTAATGACTGCTCGCCGAGCTTTTCTAAACCTCTGTTGTCAGCTTTATTACCGGCACAAAGGAGTGGCTCGCCCTCATAAAACAGGCTTCTGAAGGAACAAAATTAAACTCAACATTTTGTGCTGATTTTGGTCTGAGAAGCTCTGCAGTTCAAAAAAACCTCATTTCCATTTGTGTGACGTGCTCCTCAGCCTCGCTCTGACCTTGTCGAAAAGGTTCCTCTGCCGGGGGAGGTGGGGAGCTGGGGGGGGTGCGGGGGGTGCTTTTACCTGCAGAGATACTCAACATGTGTGTGTGAGAGCATGTGGGGACATGAGTGCTTTGACTTTGTTACTTTTCAAAGTTTTTAACTTTCCCCCACAGAAAAAGTGTTGCTTTCATCTCTTCAAAAACGTTCCGAGTAAAATCTGCCTTGGCCTCGCTCTGTCTCCATCTTGAAAAGCAGTTTTGATTGACAGCGAAGACGTGAACCTCGCAGACTTTCTCCTTCATTCATTCTTACATTTTCTTTCCCTCTTCCTCGCTGCTCCAGTCTTCTCTCATAAACCAGTTTCAGGGGATTAAGAGGAGGATTGATGAGTGGAAGGAGGAAGAAAAAAATAAATCACGTTCCAAACCCCAGCAGAGCCAGTAGCATCTTTCAGAACGGGTTGGTTCCACATTTCAGCTCCTGCTTTGGATATTTTAGCCGACTGCTGGCAGAGATCTATGGGAGTAAACCGCAGCAGGTTTCTGCTGCAGTCCCACTGGAGGAGTCCATTTATATGATGTCGACTGCTGGGTTGGTAAAAACACACCTAGTGTGAAGCTTAAAACCCACCGAGGGTCAGTCTTCTGATGATACGGCAGGCTGTTGTAACATATAATCAAGCCACATGCATATCTCTAATTACATTTTTAAACATCGGTTATTGACCCTTTAGCACGTGACGTCTCGCTCTTCAGAAGGCAGCCCACCTACAAGTTCAATATTGTTACATGTTAGAGCAGAACGTGTTTTGATAACGATATGACTTTGAAAGAAATTCGACCGAAAGACAACACACTTAGCATTACCGCTGTATTTACGCTATGCTAACACTGCGCCAGAATGAGCTCAACAGCTGTGAGTGAACAAACATCCACAGTTGAAAAAAGAAGCAGAAGAAACAGCTGACAGGAAAGAAAAGACTAAATTAGTGGTGTGGATGTTGTTTTGGTTTTGAGCATCTGATAAACTTCAGCTTTCAGTCTGAGCAGCAGGAACTTTTCAGCTCTGTTCCACCGTCTAAAAACGTTCCACTTGATAAAACTCTGAGTGAAAGAAAAAAAAAAAACCATCCAGGACTCAACTGGCAAAAACAACTTGGGAAATCACTCCGTTCAACACTCCCCTCCCTCTCTTCCAATATCTGTCATGGCGCCTCCACGTGATCAGGTGATGTTGTGTCAAAAGCATCAAAAACTTCAAAAAATGATAAATGGGCTTGCCATACCTGTAATAACTTTGACACTTGGTTGAACGCTAAATGCACAGCTTTACCTAAACCTCAACAACCTCCGTTTTCCTCCGTTCGACCGAAGCTTCTTGAATGTTTAAAAGAAATTTCGGAGGGCTCTCGCCCTTCTCACCTCTCCGCTCGGCGATCTGCAGGTAGCCGGTGGACAGGTACTGCTCCATGTCCTGCTGAAAGGCCTCCTCGAAGAACTTCTGCCTGTCTTTCAGCTTCACCTGGGGGGGCTGGACCCCTGCTTGCTCGGCTCCGGGGGCTTTCTGTGAGTGTTCAGCATCCAGCTCCACTGCAAACACAAGAGAAGAGAGTTTCACTTTTTTTTTCCTTTATGCACAACCGCAGCGTGTGCCATAAATTTAAATGATCTCATGCTGGGCAGTAGGAGCACGAGCAGAAAAGTAGAACCAGTGGTTTGTTTTTGATAAAACGTTTTTGCTCGTGTGTGAGTACTGTTAATGTGTTTGTTAGTAAAATATTAGATATTCAAGATAACGTAAAAATAGCTATAATTCATTCAATTTTAGATAATGTACTACAATTAGGTGTAGCTAACATAAACAAGCAGATTGAAAAGTATTATAAAGCTTAATGCATCAAAAAGGAGGAGGCTGACGGTGCTGAAGCAGCCACGCATTCAGCAGTTTAACCTGGCGTTTGTTACTCCATCCTCCATCTCTGGAGAGCTCGTAAACCTCCGAGCCGCAGACACATTAAACATCTCTGCTGCCCGTGGCCTCCGAGCTGCAGCGTCAAAACGCCAGGTCAGAATCTGTCACTGTTGTCGAGGAGAACAATCGACCGCTGAGTTGCTCTAATTGATCCTGACGTATATTAGCCTTTATGGAGAGGAGCCTTCCTGCAGAGCACTGATGGATCTGTGTGTGCACAAATGTGAAGCTTTTAGGGTTTTAATTTTTAGACTTGGTTAACTTTTGAGATTCTTTCCCCCAAAAAAATAAATAAATAAATAAAAAATCCATAATCTGACTCAAAAGAAAAAAAATTGCATGATTAGCAGCAGAGGTTAGCATTTGTTCAACTTGAGGGCAGAGATGTAAGTCACTGATGGATTCTGACGTGAAGGAAGCTCGTGCACGGCAGGGCTGCAGCCTGCAGTCTTGGATGGACTGTCTCTTTATTTTTCTCATCATTCTTTGATGGAAAARCGTTACATAAGACCGCCCACTAGCTGCTGTGGCAAGAGGCAGGTCAGTGTGGTGAATAAATAATGACTGGTGCAACCTGTGATTCTGCTTTAAAGTGGACAAAAACAAATCCTTTTTGTAAAACGATGTGTTTCTAAAGCTGATTTGTTGTGGTGAGCATCTTAAATTAAACTGACTTCATAGATAGAGGTCAGAGTTCTACACAAACAATAAGATATCTTATATAACTCTATAGGGGTACATCACACCACTTTCTTAAACTTTCTTTAAAATCCATTATGTGGGGAATGAGACATGAGTCACGGTTACATTGTGCACACAAGAAAAACATTATTACCCACCTTTGCCTCTGGCTGTGAGCAATAATAACAGGTTACAGCTTTTTAAAAACGATATCTTCTGACACGCCTTTCAGCTGAGACATACTGTACATTTACAAATGAATGAAGATGCTGAGACATCAAAGATTGGACTCTTTTAAACACAGAAGAGCCCTGATATAAATGTAGGCTGTGGCAGCAGATGGACACACAAACGCACGCGCACACAACCAAAGAATAATGAGATCTCACCAGAGCTCACACAAGCCAGCAGCCCTCAGAGACCAGGGAAAGAATAGCCCTCTTTCTCTGTGTCATCCCTGAGCCAGCGCCCAATTTATCTCCTTCATCTGATGTTTCATGTTTGTCCCTCGTCTTTTCCCCATGACTGTCTTTTCGCTCACTGTGGCTGCTGTGGAAATGTGTGTGTTGTGTAGAGACTGCTCTATTAGGTTAGGGGCCCTCTGGGAAGCTTTGTTAGGACCTGAGCGCTGTGTGGAGGGTCTGCAGTGAGAGGAGAGGACATGCAGGAACTGATGAATGTGGTTACTGAGGACAGACATTTTACAAAACAACCACATTCTGTGCTTCTATTTGGTTTGTCTCTAATTTCCCTGCACTARCTATTTAATTATCTTCATAGACGCTGACTGAGTTTGTGTGTATTTTATTTCCATTTCTACTCATGTTCAACAAAACACATATCTAAGATTTTTATTCCACTCTCGTCAATTTAAAACAGCCTTGATATGAAGAGGAGAAAACGGAGAAGTTTTGTTTATTGCAAAATCCCACAAATTTCCCAATTGGAAATCCTTCTGTTGGTTTGGATGTATGAGACTGAATATAAATAAGATGCGGTGTTTGCTGAAGTACTGTCACTGTGCTTTATTTTGAAAAGATGAGCTCTCACGCTACAGTGAGGTTTCTCAGCATTGGATTTGAATTGAATTGCAATTTATCAAGTCCCTCCAGTCATTCATACATTCACACACTGATGCTGTCCTTAGGTGGACCGATAGCGGTGAGTCCCTCTGACCACCATCAGCATAATGATGAATGTCCAAGAACTTGCAAGCTCTCTTCTCATGACACTTTTCCTTTTATCTTCCTTTTGTTTCTGCACATCATAAATCCAGCTCCGCACTGCAAAAAATGTCCACCTAACCAAGTTTTAAAATCTTATATCCAGCCAAAAAGTCTTTTTGATCTTGTTTTTAGACTGATTTACTAAACAAGAACTGATTGTGTAAGAATAATAATCTTGTTTTCAGAATGTGTAAGATTATTTGTCTTGTTAGTCTGAAAATTTGACTCAAATTAAGTCAAAAATTTCTGCCAATGGAGTAAGAAATGTTTACTTGGTAAGATTCTTGAAATACTTGATTTGACTCAGTTTTTTCTTTTTTCAAGAATCTTACCAAGTAAAATTTTCTTACTCCATTGGCAGTTTTTTACTTAATTTGAGTCAAATTTTCAGACTAACAAGACAAATAATCTTACACATTCTGAAAACAAGATTATTATTCTTACACACTCAGTTCTTGTTTAGTAAATCAGTCTCAAAACAAGATCAAAAAGACTTTTTGGCTGGATATAAGATTTTAAAACTTGGTAAGATGGACAGTTTTTGCAGTGCACCACTTTGGCCTCTCTGTCACATTATCCTTCCTTTTGTGGAGCTCGAGAATGGATTTAAGACGGGCTTGTTGATTGGTTCCTGGACTTTTGGTGTGGTGGCGGTAAAGTGTCCAAGTCTCGCTTCCATACAGCAGGATTGTTAAAACAATCTGATGTGCTTTAATTTCTGCTGTTGATTCTCTACAGATTAAAACTCTGACTTGGATTATATGTAGAAAGGACTCAGATTTGGCCAGTTACTTTAAGTACTTTACATTTAAATGTGCTTTTATCAGCACAGTATATGCAGAATAATGAACAAACTGTGGAGGGTACCACTTTCAGTGTAGATATTTAATCTCAGTTTTCTGATGGAAAATTCTAGTTTCTAATGTAAACAATGAGCTTTATTTATCTGTGGTCAGTCTTCTCTTTCCAACCTCACTTCTTGTTTTTTTTCACCATCATGTAGCAAACAACCCCTCCTGCTCATCTCTATGTAGCTACGAGGTTATTTTTAGCTTTCGCTCGTTCAGCCTGGAGGATTATGCTGATGAATTTAAAGAAAGAGTACAAACATGTCTTCTTACAAGTCCAAAAAACTCAACAATTGCAAACTGTGCTTTGCTCTGATCTGTAAAGCCTTCCCCTCTGATCTATATGACTGCAAGTTAAGAGATGTGACATCATCATCTTAAAAAAAACACAAAAAAAAGAAAAAAAAACTTGACTCACAAGTGCGGTGGTGAACATGTGCTCACAAAATAAATACACATGTGGGAATGATTCATAGGAGCCCAGCAAACCTCATTATATTAGTCACAGCAGATGTCAAAAGAAATTATTCTCATTAAAGTCAAAYGGAGCCAGAGTTGATGGAAACAATCTAAAACTGAAGGAAATCATTTCAGAAATAAAAACATTATAGAACAGAGAAATTAATGRGTTCTACCTGTGTTTCTCTGTTCATCTGCAGACATCAACAAAATTTAAAAAAAAAGGGTAGTCAGGTTCGTCTGCTCACTTCCTCCCTTCTCCAGGAAGTGCCACCCAAAAGGTCAAGAAAATGAAAATTAAAGTCAGTTTTCTTCTACTTTAAATAGTTGCTTCTCACCACAATAACAGAATGAATACATCTGTTTTCAGCAGCTCAGAAACATCTGTTCTCTGCTTTTCAAAAGCAGGAAGTAAAACCACAGGAAAAGGGTCCGTGTGTGTGTATGTGTGTGTGTGTGTGTGTGTGTGTGTGTGTGTGTGTGTGTGTGTGTGTGTGTGTCTTAGAGTCTGAGTGGGCGATCGTGCACCTGTTTTCGTGCAGATAACCACTTTTTACTCGCTCCCACAAACACGTCTGCGTTTCATTTGCTTTCACGTTACGAGGGTGCGATCTGCGAGCGTTATTTTATACGATGTGTAAACGTGTTTCCATTTATAGCAGAGCGGAGCAGCTTTCCCCTTTATTTGCAGCGACGGCGTGAAGAGTCTCTGAGAAGTGACAGCAAATGAAACGTAAAGCAAAAGCTGTTAAAAAGGCTATTTGTGTTTCAGGCTTCATCTGAGGCGTTGGGTTTGTGGCTCAGAAAAACTAAAAGCAAAATTATGTTTCTAATCACACAAACGTGGTCATTGCATCAAGTTTGTGTAGAAAAAGCTCAATCAGGCCCACATTTAAAAAACATTCAAAACTCTTTTCTTAGAAGCTTGTTTTTTTTTTTTTTTGATGCACCAAACTCAATTAGATTGCTTTCAGAACTCTTTCRAAGTAAAGAATAATTAGTCGAGTCGAAGTGACTGAAGATCAGCAATGACCGAGTACTTTTCAAATGGAAATAAAAGTCATCAGCAGGCGATTCAGCTCAGCGCAGAGCCATTCATCTACACTTCGGAGTGTACCCCACGTATCAGGTGCTGCCATACGCTGCGCCACTGGAGCCTGGACGGATTGACAAATGAATGGGTGGATAAATCGATGAGTGTCGGTGGATTCACTCGCCTGTTTTTTCCCTTCAGTTCCAGCCCAAAAAAAAAAACAACAAAAATAAGAGCTGTGCTGGGCCTGGAGCCAGCTGCTGGTGTACCTGTGCATCCCTCCTGATGCTGGTGCATTTATATACATGCAGGAGAAACAGAGAGCAGCATTGAGATGCAGAATGAACGCCGTGGTTCAGCCTTTTGAGAGG